TTCAAACCCTGAAACTATAAATCAAAAAATAAATATATAAAACAAATAAATATTATTAAAATAATTTATTTATTTTATGAAAAATTATTAAGTAAAGATAGGATATATATATTCCATATTTCAAAAAAAATTCTTATAATTCCAAATTATTAACATGTTGGTAACACATGCCTAAACGAGTTTATGTTTTGGTTCCAATTTTTCGGGTTTTCTAATTTAAATTAAATATTGATATATCTATGTTAGAGGACTACAATGCTTGGAACCCGGCCCATGGGCCGGGCTGGGCAAAAAATTAACTTTCCAGGCCGGATAAAAATTGTTGCTGAATTATTGATGAATTCTGATATTTGTAATAATCCATAAAGTGTAGTATTTTTAATTTAGCCACTCCCCTTATATTATAAATAGTTGTTTATTTTGGTGTTCAACTACATATATTTCGGGTTAGGCCTTGTATTTAAAAACATGGACTGGGCGACATTAGTAAAAAATTGGAAATAGGCTCTTCCGAGTATTAATTTGCCCGGGCCGGACAAAAGTTAAATTCTAACCGAGCCTGGTCTGAAAATTTTGCCTGTGTAATAAATTAAATGTTATATTTCAATATGATTTGATAATATATTTCGCAAGAATACACATAGTAAAATGATAAATTTTTACATAGCCTGCCAGACTAAGTCGGGTAACTACAAAGAATTTAGATTCCACCCGGTATTAGCGATAAATTTAAATCTGGTCACCTCTCACCTCTACATTTAAATATTTAACAAATCGCAGTGTTGTAAATATTTTTTAAAAACGAATTAGTTCGTATTCGTTCATTGACAAAAACTGAATAAAATACAAAAATACAGCATATTTTGTATACTTCGCCGCGAATTTATGCTAACTGTGAATAAGTGGTTACTCTGCAATCACAGTTAACCTCAAATTCGCGGCAACAATGAATGTTAAATGTAATATTTATATTTTGTATTTAATATAGATTATAAAAATATAGAACAGCGATAAAATATAAATAAAATTTGCTAATTAAAATATTTTCTATTATTTTTTGATAATTATTATTTTTCAAAATTTTCATCTTATATATGCAAATGCGATTTATAGTTAAAACGATGGTATTGTTGTGTTGAATTTAACGAATAATAATGTTATTTCAGAATATTCAATATTTTATATTATTGTTTGAATTTTTTTAAATAAACAATCCCCTAAATGTAAAATAAGTTATCGTCGAAAAAAAAACTAGATACAGAATTGACATTTTATCCTTCTCTCCTCAATGTAGATAAATATTTACAGATGTCGTTGTAATAAGAAATTCAACTTTTATTTAAAAACATACTATAATAAAAAATCGAAAACTCGTAAGATTAAAAATAGCAATTTAAAAGTACCCTAGAATGCATCATGCAGTTCCGTCTTATAGATAGCTTTGAAAACGAGGATAAAATAAGTTAAATATATTTTAATAAAATTAAATTTTTTACTTATATCAGGGTTGTTCATTTTGACCGGTCAAATACGTTTATTTGACCGATCAAATATGGTCAAATCCAAATATATGTTTTTTTAAGTTAATGTTTGAATATAATAGTAAAATGAATCTATATTATTAATTTTTTAAATTCATTGTCATTAAATAACTAACATTTAGCTATCCGTAGCAGATTCTTGTTCTGACTCATATTCAATATTATTATTTTCTTTAATATTTTTTAATCAATTTTTCTGATGTCTTAGATCTTCAATCGATTTCTATTTTTATAAGAATATTAACCCAAATGGACCTATTTCTTTCAAAAGAAGAAGTAGAACTAGGAATTATTAATCTCTTAATGAGCATGGTGGGCAAAGTTTAAACTATTAACTTGAGGTCGGAATTGATTGTTTTTGGAAATTACTACTTTCCTAATTAGCTATATTAAACATGCTGTTTTTGATTTTGAAATTAATTATATCACTTAAAATATTTTGGTCATTACTATCTTGTAAAATAGCTAATTCTAGAATTATATCACATACTTCATTAAATTCACTACTAGTGAGATTCTCCTCTTGATATTGTTGACCCAAAAAATAAGCAAACATTGTGATAAATTTGACCGTATTTGACCAGGTCAAATACTCTTCCGGTCAATTGACTGAATTTGACTGATCAATTGACCGACTTGCCAACCCTGCTTATGATCTCTTTATTTTTATTAAAAAATAAAATAGCATATATAAATCTATATTAAAATTAGAGATCTGCAAAGTTAGGCCTGGCTATTTAAAATAATCGGGTTCAGGTCGGGCTGGGCCTAATATTTTTAAAAAAATTCGGGCCGAGTCGGGTCGGATTTTGGAAATTTTTTTAAAATATAACTAAATTTATCAATTTTATATTGAATTTTTTATGTAAAATAAAGATTTTTGATTTTATTTATTGAAACTAAACGCTATATAACATATGTCTTTTATTTTGAGTATAATTATAAAATTAATTTCTATATTTAAATAAATTCGGGCCGTGCCGGGCCGGTAAATTGTTTTAAAACAATTTCAAATTTGGGCCGGGCTGGCAAAACTTTTTTAAAAAAATTTCGGGCCGGGCTTGAAAAATTAGGTTAGATGCAGATCACTAATTAAAATAACATTTGAGAAAAAAAATTAAAATGAGATTTAAAAATAAAAAATTAAGCAAACAATTTAGAAAAGAGAAAAATAAATTTTTTTTAAAAAAATAATTTTTTATTTTAGAAATTCTTTCCGATATATTCTTTTTTTAAAGAGTAAATTGGCCTAAGAACCTAGATGCACGATTTAGCGAGAAGCAAATAAAAAGTTTCAAATTAAATGAGTATGATGGCTTCGACAATATACCGATGAAGATATTAATAAAAAATTTCTTTGTGTGGATATTTTATTCTAATGGCAAAATACACGCCTGAACTCATCATTGTCATTTTTGTGAGCTGGGAAGGTAAATGCACCTTGCAATACAACCCTTTTTATTTTGAGATTTTTGTTTATAAATGGGACTTTAACTGAATACTTTCTAATCATCTAGGATGAAACATGATCAGTTTAAAAATTTTAAAACTTAAATGTATAAAATTATGATCCAAAAATTTTATCATATAGAATTAAAAATAGCCATTAAATCGAAAATGATAATTTATCAAATATCTAAAGGTAAAACTAAAAAATAATAAATTGCTTAATTGATTCAGCTTATTATATTCTATATTAAAAAAAATTTAAAATTAATTATAAATACACTTTCTAGGCTAGGTAATTAATTTAGAGGGGTATATTGTAAAATTTTAATATCCAACCATGATTTCAAATGAGATACAATAATAATTAATTTATACGAAATATCATGCTTTAAAATATTATATCAAAAAATTTAAGTTCAACTCAAGGAAATTTGCATTACCTCATTAAAATTTTATTAGTCTTTCTACAATCACATGATCTGTCAGATTTGTAATAAAAAAATGATTAAATTTTATTAAGAACCATTTTTATTATTAAATTAGCCCTACCTAATTCCAAAATTCTCAAACTAAAGGAACGCGTTATCATTACTTGTTACCTTATGAAAAAAGAGCACGATATTCGCTAAAAAAAGTAACACGTTCTTATTAGATCATCTTCACAAGTAGTGTTGTTAAATGGCTCTTTTTGAGCCGATTTTTAGAAACGACTAACGCAATATTTCATCTTGAATAATATTAAGCAAGCCTGAGGATTTTACTTGTAGAAGGAACAAAGGTTTGAACATCTATTAGCAAAATCTCAAGGCTTAGGCAATATTTTTCTGAGTTAGCTGTTTTTAAAAATCGGCTCAAAAAGAGCCGTTTAACAACACTATTCACAAGAATCTCCATTCAGATCCAGTGTTGTAAAGAGTGTCGCTACATTTTCAAAAATTACTGGAGCCTTGCTATTTTTCGAAACTCGGGTGCGGAAGCTAATTCTTCTTCGGTAGCTTTATTGTATAAATTGTGTAAAACGAATCTGTTTGATGAGTATTTAAATTTATGAAACTATTTAATCCTATTAAATGTCCGAGTTTTTATATATTTTTATTCTCGCAATTTTTTAAATTCAAATTATAAATAAAAACCTTTGGAATACGATATCGTTTTATTAACAAATACAAAATATGTTGAAATGAATGAAATAAAATTTCCATTTCCATCCTATAATAAATCTTTCTCTTCCAAAAGAGATGGAAAGTGTGAGCATACAAGTTTTGAAAATGGATGTAGATTTTCAACTTCTGGATTTCGAATATATATTGAATGACAGAGCAGATAGTTGTGTTTTTCTACCACAACATTCATTTCTATGACTGCCATAATATGAAGTTATAGAAAGATAGCTATAGAGGAGAGATAGAGCCTTACTTGCCATTGTGAAATAATTAGATATAGATATTAAATATGTTAGCCGGAAAATTCGCACAAAAGATTTAACGGGGAGGGGGGAAATCGGGAACTTGTGCAAAAATTCTTAATGAGCCAAAAATGGCTGGGCTAAGATGAGTAATCGGTTCGATCTGATCTGAAAAATATCAGTATAATTAATTTTTAAAAAATAAACAAAGACCACAAGTAAAAGTAGAGTCAGAAATGTAAGTATGCTGAAAAATATTTGAAGAAAACAGCTAAGTAAGAAAATAGGCGTCTTAATGATTATCAAGTAAACTCCGATTTTTATTTTAAAAGTAAAAAATGATATTTTTTAAAGCTTTTTTATTGAACGAAGTATAAATATAACGTTAACGTTCAAAATTCATCTGAAATATAATATCAAATTTTATTCACGAACGCGCAGTTTGAAATTGCAACACTAATAAATGGTAAAATCTATCTCAGGATTTACTTTATAAACAACATTTTATTAGTCGTTTATATTAAATGTCCAATCAATGTGATTTAAATAAATTTTTAATAATATTTTAAAATCTAACAATGATTTTTTTTATTCTTTGTATTTTTCAAAAAAAATTAATAAATTGGAATGTCATCATAATCATTTATTGTGATTTTTCGAAATCCTTCCTACATTTTTTATTTTTAACGCATTTATCATAGTTAAGGTCAATTATCCAGTTGATTTGATATTTGAAAGCCGATTTAATCTAATAAATTTTATTTAAAAAATATAATAGGCTATAATTAGTAAGTAATATGTTAAATGTCCAAATATGAGTGTTCAAAACAATCCCAAATAAAAATACGAAATAAATGCATAATAATTCTTCCAATTATAGATTCCAAATATAAAAAACAAAATTCGTAGCAAAATATATGCTATTAGAAATCGGAGTAGGACGACGGAAAAAAAGATTTTTTAACCAGACTGGAAAATTTGTTCAAAATATTTTTATGGGCCAGACAAAAGTTTTAAAATTTTTTTAGCTGATAATTAGGCAAATTTATGTAGTTTCCCTTCATAAAAAAATTTATTACGGACCGGATAGACAACTGGTATAAAATATATACTAGGGCTGAACCGGTTAAAAATGATTATGGGCACAGCCGAAAGACCGCATAAAAAATTTTCACGGATCGGTTTAGACCGACATCTAATAGTTATGGTTGTAAGAAACAATAAAAAAAAAATCTCTATGGGACTTTCCAATCTTAGATTTAGGCTTCAACTAATGAATTTTTTAGACTACAAATTTGATTTGTTAAAAAAAACCTTCATTTGATGACCTTCGAAAATAAAACATCGAGTTAAACATTTGTTAGAAGTATAAAATAAAACTCCAAAGATAAAAACTCGAGGGCAGATTTTTTAATTAATGGCCTTATAAATAAGTCGAGATAATCAAGATATAAAAGTGGCGGAATTCCTAGCTTTTAGTGCATATTTTTTATGTATATATATACTTTAACAAAATGGAGTACATCAAATGACAGTTGATTCCCTCCGCATCGCGATTCGATAAAATAAAGTCGATAATACTTTTCATGAATTTAAGAGCTATTTGACTATTTAAAAAGCGCATTTGAGACAAGGCATATAAGGCTAAAGTTAACGATATTTTGTGATCCATAGGATTAATTATATCAATTTTGGGACAATAATCATCTTTATTATTTAGGCTATCATTTGAAATGTGACTTATCCATTGGCAAGCATCTATATTAGCAGATAATTGATCGACATTATTGGAGTCCTGAGAAGTACCAACAAAGAATACATCTTCGCCTGAACAAAATATCAGAGGCGTTTGAATGATTGAGCATGATATTAATACGTTAACGATTGAAGATGTTATAGGAACTAAGTGGTTGACGAGGAGGAATTTGAGTTGAATCCATAATCGGTGTTTTATCATGAAATGCGTCAAGATTAGAGGAAATTTTTCCTATAAATTAAAATACGCAAACTGAGTGTAAATTTTCAATTGCGAAATTTCTAAAAAAAACAAAACTATGTCTTCAGTGTGACATCTATAACTTTTAGCATTCTGATAGGAATGCGCTCAAAAAATGTTTTGTTCAAGTAGTAATTTAGGCGCATTCAATTTAGGCCTGAGCACCTATTTACCCTTCTACAATGATGCTACTCACTGATTAGGTGATTTAAGAATATCATATTAATATTTTTTTTATTTTATATACATATCAGTGTTCTGCAATACACAGCCCGTTACCCTGTCCTATCGTATGAAAATGGATTTTGGGGCCAGGCTGGGCAAAAAATAAACGGGCCTGTATTTATATTTGATAAATTCTTATATTTCATATGATAATCCACAAAGTATAGTGTTTTGATTATAAATAATTATTTATTTTGATGTTAACAACATATATTTTAGTTTATACCTTGTTTTTAAAAAATAATTAAAACCCGGGCAGAGCCGGCCAATCTTAATAAAAAAATGAAACCGGGCTAGGCTGGACAGCAAAAGCTAAATTTTTCCCTAGCCGGGCCTGAAAATTTTACCATTTGCAAACCACTGATACAAATATCTAAAATTAAAAAATATCAAGTTAAACATTTAAAAAAATATATTTTACCGGTAAAGATTGACGATTTCTATAAGAAGAGTTAATGTAAGCATAGACAACGGCTAGTATATATTTAGGAATCCAGTTAAGTTTTTCATCAAAATTTGTTGAAAATTCTGACATTAAACTTTCCCATAGGGTTGTAAAAAGTATTTCGGAATCGAAAAGCTTTAAAAAAATTGGTAAAATAAATATCTAAAAAGAAAGTTGGTTGCTATACCACTAGAGATGAATCACTAACATAAATGTGGACAAAATGGGCTGGATAAAATTACCCCGAACAAAAATACCCAAGAGCAAATAGACATTGGACAAACCCACTTAAAAAGGAATAAAAAATTTAAATGATCCTTTTTAAAGAATTTAAATTTTTTTCCAAAATTGGCCTATTTTTGTCCAGGACATTTATATTTGTGATTCTCTAGAGATGTTATAACAAAAGGATACGTCATCTATCTTTTGTAGAAATAACTCCTCTAATTTTTGAAAAGGGTTTTTGCCCTGCACAAAAATAATTAATTGTAAAAGTTGTTCGACCCTGCCCTGATAATTTTTTTATTAAGGAAAGGTATGAATTTTAAAAAATTCATAAAATTTCAATATATAAAGATATTTTAAATATGTCACCTGGCCTGGCCCGAAAATCTTTTGAAATTTAGAGCATATGTCCGAAATCGGTCTAAATAATTTCGGGTTCTGGAGCATATTTAGCTAAAAATGGTTTATTATGTTCCTAAAGTTAAATGGAAAAAAACTCAACAAAAAAATCTATGGACAAAAGCTGTGGAATTCAGGAATAAAAATCATAGTAAAATAGATGGAGGTGTAGCTAGAGAAAAAGTCACTGGTTTATATGGGGAGATAGCCAACTACTGAAGAAGAGAAACCATAGGAACGGTAAAAAATATAGATAATGGCAAAGCAGGGAAGATAAGACCGTTTATGCAGGACAACTGGTAAAGAGTGAGCTTGTGATAAGAGCACCTGATACGTTTTTGCCCGAGAGCTGTCATGGTGCTCAAAGTAGAACAGCTATGTTCCGTTTAATAATAGACCAAGATACTAGTCCTAGAGATCAACAAGCCAGGCGGTTCTGGACAAAGGTCCCTATCTTCCCTGCTTCCTATTTTCTATATCTTATCATCATTGCTAGGTTTCTAAACATCGCTAGCTGCATAACCATCTTTTTGATTCTGCAGACCCATATATATTCCTTATATGTATTTCGACGATTGTTTCCTAGAAAATAAGATATCGTTAACAAAAAACATTTAACATCTATATTATATTTTTCACACAACTCTAAAATTTTTCTTTTTCATAAACACTATACCCATCGCACTTTTTAAACCATCCATTGCATATTTTTTTCTCACAATGTGCGAAAAGAAGTGTTGTAGTATTATGTGTATTTAAATTATTATTACAATGATGTTAAAGATATATTGAATTTTTATATGAAAAAGAAATGATGTTAACGATATATTATCTTTTTATATGAAAAAGAAATGAGGTCAAAGATATTTATGTATTTTATTAAAAAAAAATAATAATAAAGTTTTTTACGTTTCGAAGATTGTATTTTTATTTTTTATTAAAAAAAGAATGAAATGTTTTTTTAGTTATTTTTTCGTGTAATAATTATATAAATAAAATTTTCATCTAATAAATTATAAGAAGTCTACAAAAGTGGTGGGTTTAATTTTTATTTAACCAACGGACAAGATATCTGGGTAATAGTGGACGCAGTGTACTAATAAAAAATACAATCACGGTGGAAAATAAAAAATTCTTAAAAATAAAAAGGTAAAAAATTTTTGGAATATATAAAATGATGTGCATTTATATAATTTTGATATTATTAATTATATTTGGTTTAATATATTGTCTCACTTTTAGTAATGTTAAAATATTTATAATAAAAGTTTTAATAAATTTTTTATAAATTTGTGAATAAAAAATAAATGTTTAATTATAAAAGAAGTATAAAAACTTAAAAGTATGTGGAAATGGTTCCACAGAGAAATAATTGTATTATAGCTGTAGTAGTGATATGTTTATGGATAATTGGTATTATATTACATCGGAAAAAAATAAAAAGAGTTATAGAAAGAGATAGAATAAAAATTACGGAGGAAATTGAAATAAAAAATAATGAAATTGAAAAAGGAAAAAATGAAATTGAAAAAGGAAAAAGGAAAAAATGAAATTGAAAAAGGAAAAATGAAAGGGAAGTAAAAAACGTTAATGAAAATGAAAGAATTACGGAAGAGATGTTAAATTTAAAGGATGAAATATGGAAAATGTTAAATGAAAATATGATAGAAGGAATGAGGAAAAGTATCAATATTATTAGATCGGGAGAGGAACGAAAAGATATTGATAATAAAAGAGAAATAGAGATTAAAGATGAAAGTGGAATGAGAGATAATAAACGAAAAAATTATACGGCATCCGCATTTTTTGGCTTTGGGGGGGGGGGGGGGGAAATTGTGAGAGAAGGTATAATGAAAGGGATTCAAAAGAGATGATCGAAGAAATGATAAGGAATACGATCATTTTAAAGAGTATAATACGTCAATGAACTTGCAGAGAAATGAAAGGGAAAATTGGGAAAAAGAAAATTTTTTCCGAAATAGATTTAATCGTCCGAAGATTAATATGCAAAATGTTATTCATGTGGAGAATTTGGGCATATAAGTAGAAATTGTGTGTAGAACGGTGCAATGTTTAACAAGCAACCGATTAAATGTAATAGATGTGAAGGAATTGGACATAGTAGTGAAAAATATTATGTTCCGACGTATCGTATTATGGGAAATAATCAAAGAGCATTTCAATGTGAAAGATGTGGAAAAATCGGACATGCTAAAGAGAATTGTTATGTAAGAGAACCGATAAATAGGGAAGCCTTTCCGGCAGTGAAATACATAGCAACGGCATCTAATATAAGAATGATACAAAATAGTGATATTTTGAAAGAAAGTAAAGTGGAAATTATATGTTTTTAGTGCAGAAAGGAAGGATATAGTGCTATAGAATGTCGAGAGAGGTGACTAGATGATAGCGAAAGTAATAAAATGGAGGTTATTACATTAAAGAATGAAATTAAATTTTGTGTGAGTGAAGATGTAGAAATTAAAAGAGATATAGTAGATGTAAAATTCGTAAATGGTGAAATTATAAAAAATTATAGAATTCCGATTTTAAAATTGGAGGACAAAAGTGAGAAGGATAAATGTCCTCGAGTGAAAATAGTTGTGAGAAGTAGAAAAATATCTATGCTATTAGATACAGGTGCGGCCATATCGATTGTAGGTTATGAAATTTTTGTGAATACTGGCCAGAGGAAAATATAATTAAAGAAGAGATGAGGGTTAAACAGTTTGACAGATCGGAAATAAAGGTTTTAGGAAAAATTGAAGTACCGTTTGTGATAAATGGTATAGTTAATTATTTAAATTTGTGGATTGTTGATAAAAAAAGTGGATACGATTATGGGGTGGGAATGGATTGTTAAGATTGGTCCATTAAATAATTTTTGGGGTATCTTTTCAAATGAAATTAAACGAGATGAAATGATTGAAGTTCAGAACGATGAAATAAAAAATCGAGAATTATGTCATGTAAAAAGTGAAATTATTGGAAATGGTGTGATGGGTAATCTTAAAAGTGAATTTGAAAAAGAAATGTCTCAAACGCGGATAGTTCCAGTTAAAAAAAGAAAGGTAAGATATACTGCGTTATCGCAAAGTGTTAATATTATGGAAAATGACAAGCCTGGAGAGGTAAAAAAAGAAATATCTTGTAGAAAATGTATTAATGAGCGAAATAATGATGAATTAAAAATAGTCACAAAAACAGAAGAAATAGAGGAGAAAATTATTAGTCAAGAAATGTATAAGGAACTGGATAATGAAAAGAAAGATATACCAGTGTTACAGAATTTCCCGGCGAAATTTGTAAGAAAAAAAGAGGAAAAGGAGATTAATGGAGGGAAAGGAAAGGAACAATTGTCGAGTTTGGAAAATTGGAAACTTGCAGTGGCAGTTTTAATGAATAGTTATAGTGAAATTTTTGAGGAGAAATTAGGATGTTTAGTGGATTATGAAGTTGATATCCGTTTAAAGGAAGGTTTTGTACCGTAGTATTGTCCGGTGCGAAGAGTTCCATTTGAATGGAGGGCGGAAATGGAAAAAGAGTTGGACAATTGGGTGAGAGATGGAATTATTTGTCCTATTGGTTACAGTGAATGGGCAACTCCGTTGGTTCCTGTTAGAAAGGCCAATGGAAAATTGAGGTTATGTGCAGATTTTAGGGTGACCTTGAATCCTTGGGTGGTAGAGGTGAAATATCCGCTACCGCGAATAGAAGAAATTTTGGCCAGTTTGAAAAGGGGAAAATATTTTTCCAAGATTGATTTTTCGTGTGCATATTTGCAATTACCTATGGCAAAAACGACTAGGAATTTGTTGACGATTACGACATTCAAGGGATTTACGTTTTGTCGATTACCATTTGGGTTAAGTGTATCAGCCCCTATTTTTCAGCGGACAATGGCTGCTGTTTTCCAAGGTTTAGAGGGTGTTTTTTATTATATGGATGATGTTTTGGTTGTAGGAATAACGATGAAACAACATGATGATAGGCTAGAAGAAGTATTTATTAGAATTCGAAATAAAGGATTAAAGGCGAGTGGTGAAAGAGTGTGTTGGGAGTAACTGAAGTGACGTATTTGGGTCATAGGATTAATGGAATGGAGGTAAAACCGTTAGATAAGAATTTGTTGAGTATTGCGAATTTGAATAGGCCGGTAAAGTAGAGGTCCAGTCGTTTATGGGAATGGTAAATTATTACCATCGGTTTATATCGAGTTTTGTGGAAATAGCTGTGCCTTTATATGAATTATTAAGGAAAGGCGTACATTTTGAATGAAAAGATGAACAAGAGATTGCGTTCAGAACGTTAAAGGAAAGGATTGGGAAAGAGCCCATTCTAGTATGTTTTAATAATGATCTGGAAGTAGTTTTGGCTGTAGATGCATGTAATAGAGGAGTAGGTGGGGCGATGTTGCATTTGATAGATGGAATGGAAAGACCTGTTTTATTTTTCTCGAGAGTGTTTCGAGAGGTAGAAAAGCGGTATTCAGTGATAGAACAGGAGGCTTTAGCTGTGATTTTTGGATTAACGAAATGTTGTGAATACATTAAACGTAGGAAGTTTGTTGTTTTTACAGATCATAAGCCGTTGATCCACTTATTCAAGAAAGATAACAAAGAGTTGATGTTATCGCCTCGACTTCATCGATGGTTATTGTTAGTAGGAAGTTTTGATTTGGATTTAAAATATCGAAGGGGGAAAGAGAACCAGTTACCTAATATTTTGTCAAGGTTAGGTGCTGGCGAAAGTTTGGATGAATCGGTGATTTTGAAAATTGATAATTGGGAAGAATGTCTTGTACGTACGATAATGAGAAGTATAAAGGGTAGCCCAACGACATGGGAAGATATACAAAGGTTTACAAGGAAAGATAGAGAATTAGCGGTAGTTAAATTATGTCTAATGGGAAAAAGATCATGGAAAGATGATGATAAAGTTTTCAAAAATATTGAAACAGAATTAATTATAGTGGACGATTGTATTATGAGGGGACCTCGAGCTGTTATACCCCGGAAATTGAGATAAAAAGTTTTGAATGTTATACATGCGGGTCATCAAGGAGTTACTCGTATGAAACAATGGGGAAGAGAGTACGTATGGTGGCCGAAAATGAACGAGGATATTGATAAATTGGGAAAAGAATGTGAGATTTGTAATTCATGGTCTGACATGCCCCATAGGGATAAAAATAGTATATGGCCAAAAGTTGTAGAACCAGGAGGGTTCATGTTGATTTTTTCGAATATGAAGGAAAAAAGTATATATTAAGTGTAGATGCGTTCTCCAAATGGATAGAATTTGAAGAAATTCATGGGTTAACGGCGAATATTGTGATTAAACATTTTAAAAAAGTATGGTCGAAGTTTGGTATTCCGAAAATTGTAGTATCGGATGGTGGACCAGCTTTTATCGGGGAAGAATTCAGGAGATTCCATGAAAAAACGGGTGTATATCATGTTGACGCCACCGTATCATCCCAGTTCCAATGGACAGGCGGAACCGTATGGTATCGACGGTTAAAGGATGGTTGAAGAAAACCAAAAGTGGAAAAGGAGAAATGTGGGTGAAGCATTTGTATTATAATAATGCAATGGGTAATGATGGTTTGTCTCCGGCAGAAAAAATGATAGGCCGGAAGGTAAGGATGTTTTTAGATATGTTAATACCCAGTGAAGCTGAGGTAGTTGTAGAGGATATTGATAGAAGGGAATTGGAATATACTGTGGGACAGTTAGTGTGGATTAGATTATATGGAAGTACAAAAAAATGGGAGAAAGGAGGTGTAATAGAGAATTTAGGAAACAAATTAAATAGGGTAAAATTTGATGATAATAGTGAATGTGTCAGTCACAGGGATCAGTTGCGGAAGAGAGTGCATAGAAATGGTTGAAAGAGGAAATTGTAAAAAAAGAAAATATTTAAGGATAGTTCCTGGTTGATAAAGATGTAGATTTCAATGGTTTCAATGGTCTAAATAATCGTGCAGCCACTACCCATGTACATCGTATGTCCAATGTAAAAGAGGAACTACACTATGTTAGGAGGACAACAAGTTATGACAGATACTACAAAAATCGCCTAAAAGAAAGGAAGATGGCAACGTTAGAATTGGCCGTCTAAAAACATTACTGGGATGATTATCAAGATCTGATTGAGTGTATGAAGTGATAAAGAAGAAATACAGACACAAAAATATGGTTTAAAGAAAAAGATTTGGGAATCATTTATTGAATGCTTATACGCTGATTAATTTTTTTTGGCATAGTGATATAAAAAATATATATAATTTTGCCCAGGATTTTTGTTAAGGTGTTGTAGTATTATGTGTATTTAAATTATTATTACAATGATGTTAAAGATATATTGAATTTTTATATGAAAAAGAAATGATGTTAACGATATTATCTTTTTATATGAAAAAGAAATGAGGTCAAAGATATTTTTGTATTTTATTTAAAAAAAATAATAATAATGTTTTTTATGTTTCGAAGATTGTATTTTTATTTTTTATTGAAAAAAGAATGAAATGTTTTTTTTAGTTATTTTTTTTCGTGTAAAAATTATATAAATAAAATTTTCATCTAATAAATTATAAGAAGTCTACAAAAAGAAGGAAAATTTTTTATGTAAAAAAATGAAGGAAAATGAAAAGGTTTTTGATGTTATGTGATGGGCAGAAAAAATGAAAAATAATTTTGATAGTAAAAAAACGAGAAGGAAAAAATGACTGGTTAAAAAGTGTGATGGAAAAAAAAAGATGTAGAAAAATAGAATGCCAATGAAAGGCAAAATAATATGGGTCTGATAAAATGGCAATGGTGAATCAAGGATGATTGACAAAAGACCAAAAATAATAGTTAATGGTATTAAACAGACATTGGAAATGTGAACTTTGATTTTAATTATAATACTTTAAATACAGCTAATATTTTTGAAGTTAATAAGAATAAATTTGAAATAATATCGATTGTTTAATATCTTAATTTCTCGTCATTTGTTCTACAACCTTTTTAAAAAATTAAATCAATTAATTACTATTATCATTTTAAAAACCAATTACAATATATAAACAGATATACATATTAAATATATACTCTAAGTAGATTATATCTTTTTTAAATATATAGATATTTTATCCGAAAACTTTTATTCCTACAATTTTTTAAGTATTTCTAATGTTTTTTTGATCGAGTTTGTATCATGGGCGGGAGGATGAACGGGTTAAATTTAAAAAAAAAATGTTGGGTGTTTGGTTTAAAACCCCACCTATTCAAATAAGAATAACATTATAAATTGCTTGAGATATGATAAATATAAGTTGCGTTACATATATGCAACCATAGTCCTTAATGTGTAAAAATATCTATGTAGTTACATTAATGCATTTAACATCGCAATAAGAATTTCTGGAGCAAGTATGGCTGCTATGAAAGTCACTAAAATTGAACGAGAGTTGATTTGGAGTAGAGACACCTAGAATTTTTTTATTCAAAATAAATATCGATTTTAAAAACTTGTTTATATATATATGTCATAGGACTCTTGCCTTAGAACTTTGGTTAAATATATTAAAGATCTCGAAATTTTCATTAATAAACCCAAAGTTATAAATTCCTAGAGTAATTATTAATCTTCCTAAACTGCCAGAGTATTATATATACACCTTCATATTGTATATGCTTTTTCTGAAATTTAAAATATAAAATTATAATAAACCTAACAAGTTTCGCAAAGAAACCATCTAACCCCCTCTGATGGTAATAGGAACCCCCGGAAAAAACCCCATGGAAAAAAAATTCAAAAAAAAAAGAAAATTGTTATTTTTAAAAAAAAATATCTTGTCAATTTTTCTTAAATTTTTTTCTCAATTTATATTTTTCTTCCCATTTTTGCTTGAAGTCATTGTTAATCTTTATTTTTCTGATCTTTTCTCATTTATTTTCTTCTCACTTTTTACTTAATTTTTTTAGTATAACCTAGCAATAATTAATATTGATAAATAATTTTATAAGCCAATGCCACAATCATTAACAGCTATTAAACTAAAAAAAAAACACAAAATACTTACGAAAAAAATATTCGAAGTAATAATGTCTAAATGTCAAGAACGGGATTTATTTCCTGATCCATTATATATATACTAGAGACCTTCATGAGCCTAGATTTTAGGACCAAGCCCGGCCCATCGTAAAAAAAAATTTTAAGCCCAGGCCCGGCCCGTTTTTAATATTTAAAAAAATTTCCAAGCCCAGCCCAAGCCCGCTATAATATTTAAAAAATTTCCCAAGCCCGGCCCAAGCCCATAAAATTGTTTTTGTATACTTAACTTATGCTGAAGTAATACTAATAGAAATATAATATTTTATTTAGTAATAATATATATATATAATATTAATAAATGATATAAACAAAATTTTAATTTATATTTTCAAATTTTATGGTGTATATATTCATAACCTTTATAGTTTATGAATTTATGTCCTTTTTGAGTTTTCTAATTAAAATTTTATTTTAATATATTATAAAAAGTTTACTTGAATATCTATTTGTCTACGTCTAACAATTGTTTTAAAATTTTCTGCTACTGTTGGGATTTTGCTTTGAATTTGAGGCTAACTTGGAAAAATATATGTCATATCGAAAATGTTGGCCATCTTTGGGAACATTTTTGGGAATATTCCCTGATTTTCGCTGTTTCTTTTTTCGCTGTTTCGTGCCCAGGCCGTTGTGTTAAATTAAGTAAAATTATACCAATTTCCGATTTTAAAAAATATATACTCTTCCAAGGTGTATAGGAAATTTGATAAATAACACTAATAAAATCAGAATGATTTGTTATATTTGTCCTATTAAATATCCTTAAAATAAGCTAAATTTGAATTTAAAAATTTAGACCCAAGCCTTATTGCAAAAATTTCCAACAAACCTAAGCCCGGCCCAGACCCGATAGAAAATTTATAATTAGGCCCAAGCTCGGCCCATGAAGATCTCTAATATATACATGGATTTCGAAAAGTCTGCTATGAGCGCGGTTAAAACTGTCATTGGTATGATTATTAATATGTTAATATATATTTATTTTTTCAATTAGGGGATCACATCATAATTAGAGAATGCTTTTACCATTTGTGTCAAAGTACACATAGAAAAATTCTAAAGCTAGATCTGGAAAGCCAATACAAAACCGATGAAGCCCTAAGCTTCTTTTGTGGCATGATGGACGGCTTAGCATTTGTTCCTTTATGTGATATGGGCAATGCAATGGCATTCCTTAGATCGGTTACTCCGAGCAATGGTAAGGATATTCTTGAATAAGGAAGGTCACAAGAAGCAATCCTCAAAGTTGGAATCATTGATTTTCTAATCTGGTTGGGAATAAACACCCATCAATCTGGGTATTGATTAAAAAATGAAATGCGAGGTGGCTGCCGATGAAACCAAACTTGAACGATGGCGTGTAGGTAGTTGGATATAGTGTTGACGGCTAAGCCGAGTCGACTTAGCTGCGACTCGAGCCTAGTTTCTAGTCGATAAAACGACTTTGACTCGAGTCGACTAAATGAGCCTCATTGGTAGGCTCGTGTAGTCAGCTCGCTTAGTCGGCTGTGTAGTGGACTCATGAAGTCAGCTCATGTTAGTCGACTCGCTGGGTCTGCTCAATTTTTTTGTTTTTTTTATAAAATCTGGTAAATTGGTAAGTTATTGATTAATGTGAACAAAATTATAATAAGAATATTCATGTCGTAACTAAAAATGGCTCAGGACCCGAATTCGGCTTCAGATATTATATATCTATTTTTTATAACACAGAAATGTAAAAGATGGTAAAATTAAAATTTCAGTAAAGATGTACCCTAGATAAGTGACAATTGTCATAATCGTTATTTTTAAAGATTTTTGAAATTTTTTGAAGCAAGTGGGTAAAAATATAGATTGTAAATATGTTATATTAAATATTTAGTGAAGATGTACCCTAGATAAATTGTCATAATCGTTGTTTTTAAAGTTTTTTAAATTTTTTGACGTAAATGGGCTAAAATAGGTATTGCTAACATGTTAAAATAAAACTTCAGTGAATATGTACTATAGATAAGTGACAATTGTCATAATCGTTGTTTTTAAAGTTTTTTAAATTTTTTTGACGTAAATGGGCTAAAATAAGTATTGCTAACATGTTTAAATAAGATTTTAATGAAGATGTACCCTAGACAATTGTCATAATCATTGTTTTTAAAGTTTTTTGAAATTTATTGAAGCAAGTGGGTAAAAATATAGATCATAAATATGTTATATTAAAATTTTAGTGAAGATGTACCCTAAGTGACAATTGTCATAATCGTTGTTTTTAAAGTTTTTTAAATTTTTTTGACGTAAATGGGTTAAAATAAGTTGCTAACATGTTTGAATATAATTTTAGTGAAGATGTATTATAGATAACAATTGTCATAATCGTTGTTTTTAAAGTTTTTTGACGTAAATGGGTTAAATAAGTATTGCTAACATGTTTAAATAAAATGTTAATGAAGATGTACCATAGATAAGTGACAATTGTCATAATCGTTGTTGTTAAAGTTTTTTAAATTTTTTTGACGTAAATGGGCTAAAATAAGTATTGCTAACATGTTTAAATAAAACTTCAGTGAAGATGTACTCTAGATACAGGGTTTCCTATTCAAAAAAGGAAAATCGTAATTTTTTTAAATTTTTTGTCAATTTTTTTAAAACCTTTATTTATTTTTGTTATTCCTTTTCTTAATTAATTTCTAAATTTTTGCGATTTCTTTAAGTTTTTTTTCTTACTGTATCTTTTCTCAATTTATTTCTAACTTTTTGCGATTTTCTTTACTTTTATTTTTCTTACTATATCTTCTCTCAATTTATTTTTCTTCTCATTTTGATAATTCTTTTGTATTTTTAAAAATTTTAAATTTAGGTCCATTTTTTTAACAATTCTTTACGTTTTTTATCATTATACATACATTATTCTTTTTATGATTTTTTCATTGTAATCTTTTACATACCTTTTTAACCTTTGCAATCTCGTCATTTTTAATCTTTATTTTTTTGACCTTTTCTCAATTTTTTTCTTCTCATTTTTAATAATTATTTTTTAAAATTATATTTAATGTTTTTGGCAGACAATATAATTACAATTGCTAAATTATAAATTAATCGTCTGGTTTACCTTAACTGTATTACCAAACGATATTTAAATTAATAAAATATAACCATTTTTAAATTCTTATTTTTAAAACGCATTAGAAAATTATTATTATTTAAAGTATATTTTTTAAATAAAGATTATATATAGTAAAAAAAATGCGTCCTTATTTATTTTTTTTTTAAATTTATAAATTAGTTTTATCAAAGTCAGATATAATATAGATGTTTTAACTAAATGGTCTTTAATAAACAATTATATCTACTAGGATTTTGTAATGAACTAAACTAGCAAAATTAAAAATCAAAAATGAGAAGAAAAAAATTGAGAAAAGGTCAAAAAAATAAAGATTAAAAATGACGAGAATGAAAAGGTTAAAAATGTATGTTAAAGATTACAATAAAAAAATCATAAAAAGAATATTGTATGTATAATGAAAAAAAACGTTAAGAATTGTTAAAAAATGGACCTAAATTTATAAATTATTTTTAAAAATACAAAAGAATTATCAAAATGAGAAGAAAAATAAATTGGGAGAAGATATAGTAAGAAAAATAAAAGTAAAGAAAATCGCAAAAAGTTAAAAATAAATTGAGAAAAGATACAGTAAGAAAAAAAAAGTAAAGAAATCGCAAAAATTTAGAAATAAATTAAGAAGGAATAACAAAAATAAATAAAGGTTTAAGAAAAATTTTAAAAAATTACGATTTTCCTTTTTTGATTGGGACTTTTCCTTTTTTAAATGGGAAACCCTGTATCTAGAGTACATCTTCACTGAAGTTTTATTTAAACATGTTAACAATACTTATTTTAGCCCATTTACGTCAAAAAAATTTAAAAAACTTTAAAAACAACGATTATGACAATTGTCACTTATCTAGGGTACATCTTCACTAAAACTTTATTTAAACATGTTAGCAATACTTACTTTTGCCCATTTACGTCAAAAAACTTTAAAAACAATCATTATGACAATTGTCACTTATCTAGGGTACATCTTCACTAAAATTTTATTTAAACATGTTAAAAATACTTATTTTAGCCCATTTACGTCAAAAAAATTTAAAAATCTTTAAAAACAACGATTATGACAATTGTCACTTATCTAGGGTACATCTTCACTAAAATTTTAATTTAACATCTTTACAATATAAATTATTTTTTTACATTTGTTATAAAAAATAGGTATATAATATCTGAAGCTGAATTCGGGTCCTGAGCCATTTTTAGTTACGACATGAATATGCTTTTTATAATTTTGTTCACATTAATCAATAACCCAAAATTTACCAATTTACCAGATTTTATAAAAAAACAAAAAAATTGAGCAGACCTAGCGAGTCGACTTATATGAGCCCGACTACACGAGCTGACGACATGAGCCGACTACACGAGTCGATTAAGCGAGCCGACTACATGCGCCGATTAAGTGAGTCGGCTCATGCGGCTCCTTGATCGACTTGAGTCGGAGCCGTTTTTTAATACTACGACTCAAGTCGTAAGACGTAAGAACTCGACTTTTTAACAACACTAGTTGAACACCGAAAACAAAATCGCAGAGTTACCATACCCAGAATCGGCTAAAGAAACTTTGCGAGGAATACCGTGATGTAGTGCGAAGCCATCCAGATTTTTATGAGGGAGTTTTCCTTCAATATTCTATGTCAACCCATATAATTATTATTCTAAATTATTAAATTTATATATACATAATAATGATTTATCAATAAAATAAACAGATCTTATTGCAAATTTTGTCAAATTTAGTCTACTTAATATAGTAATTAAGGATGGATATTGTATTTATTACTATAGCAAATAATTTTTACGAAAATAAGTAATACAATGGGTTATTTTACTGGGATATTTTTTTCCCCAGTACCAATTTGAACACCATCATTTTTTCTTGTTTAAGCATTTTTTATGGAGAATATATGAGAAATCTTTAAGTAATGAATTGGGGCTTAAAAAGATTTATTATTAAATTGTATTTTTATAATATTTTTTTCAAAATACTAATTTATCTATACCTTATTAAATCCAAATAAAAATAAAAATATATCGATATTATTAAATCTTAAGTAAATTCGAAAAAAAATTTCGATGTTTTTTTTCCTGGAGGTTTTTTTCTGGGATTCCTCCCCGATATACCATCCAAATTATACAACCTTTTAAATTAACTCAACGCCAAAATATAGTATAATGATTTTCCAAGTCTTGCGACAAGTTAAAGCGACCAACGTTTTATTGGAACATTGACTTTATAGTAATTCATTTTAAAATATAACTATTAATTTCTTAATTACTCGATTTAGGGCTAGCAGGCAGTTTATTATATTTTCCTCCTCCCTCATTACTAGCGAGTGAATTACTTTGGTTAAAATCGGAGCAATTTGTGTGGATAAGATCAAAAATACTTTTGAGAGTTTCCAGACGATTTTTAAGGTCAGGTGCATTGCCCGAAGGAATTAAATCTTTGTTAATAAGTATCAAATTTTTCAAAAATGCTACCAAAACGTAATGAGAATTGAATCGATTGAGTAGAAAGCGCGTGATTGTTTCCTATTTTGAAAGATTATTTAAAATTCTATATAATAATAGGATAAGATCATCATGGCTCTGATTCCCATTCAATACTATCCATATAAACATAGGTATGTTCGTCGATCACACTACAAAATATAGCGAGTGACATTTTCTTAAATACGTTTTTTTGCAGAAATGTGTTTAAGGCCCTCTTTCATCCCCTGGAAATCCGAATCATAATAATTACTAAACACATGTTTTGTATTTATCACACTAGGGTTCATAAGACCACCCCTAAAAATGTTTATAAGATTAAATATTTTATGAAAAAATATTATGCTGCATAAACATAGGATGTGTATAAAAGCTTCATAATAATTTATAAAATTATTAATATTTTCTTAATAAAATAAAAATTTAAAAAAAATAGTTTTTTGTCTTTTCCTGAACAATTTTTAGAAAAAAGTTACTATGGTTTTGTAATGTGACCGATGATGTATCAAGGGAACTTACACCGAACCCAATTAAAACCGTTTTTTTATTGAACGAAAAACGGTTGAATCATTCTAAATATATGTGCCGAAATTCGACTACCAAATTCGTCCGTAAATGATCTCTTCAAGATCTAACCTCCATACCTCCTGAGCTACTCCACGACCAAAAAGTAGTTACATGAGTCATCATAACCCCTCCCCTCTTGAATAAGCCTCGATCATGGCGTGGGATGTAATATTATGCAAAATACAATCAAAATGATATGACACTGTCAATGATTTTTGAGGAGAAACATACATTTCATTACAAGTACCAATAGACAATCTGTGCCAAATTTTCTAAGGCTACAAAATATACCCATTAATTCCGACTCTAAGATGAAATTTCTCTCAAAATTATAGTATCATGTGGGCTTTTCTATATTGGAAAAATTGATATTTTTTTAATAAACGAACAAAGGTTAACACTCAAGTTTATAAGAAGCATTTGTGAAATATTAAATGTCAAGATTTGTGCGGTTGAGCAAACATGATATTCATACAAGACAATGAGTGATTAGACAGTGCAAATCTTGTCATGAAGTGGAGGGAAAGGATTCCTTCTTATGTCATTCAGAAGGGAGGCCTCTGATGGTATCTGAAACAAAAATGTTTTTGAGAACAGGGGGTAAATCTCGGTCCTTGCTTACAAATTATTTTCTCACATGTCGACGCTGCACAATGCCATGATTACTTCAAATTTTCCAATATATTTATCCTACTGAATGGCCAACAAATTATCCAGATTTAAATCTGTTAGATTATAAAGTTTGAAACGAATATAAACAGCTGGTCTATAAAAACCAGAGAGACCTGTTTTAGTCTTTAAAGTTTTGCAACAAAGAATTCAAGATATATATGTGGCGTCAATAAAAAGATGGGTTCAACCATAATTTAATAAAACAAGGGTTCTATCTTATTCAAAATCATACTTTACTGCCTATATACATATATTATACATAGATATATGAATTTTATTTAAATCCGTTAATCCATACATTTTCAAGAGTGTTTTTTAAAACCTATTTTTTGACCACCTGGTAAAAGGAATAATTTCAAAGAAATAGTGCAAAATTTATATTTTTATAATAGGGAAGACAAATTCCTCTTTTTACTAAACCCGTAAACGCGCTACGGGATCAATATTATTATAAACACCAATTAGTTTATCGATAAGTAATATTAACAATTTGATTAAAATTTCATCTGAAGCAAATATTGTCTTTAATTTTTCTATTATCATAATTATCAGAAACTCAGCATATATTTATATCAAAATGTCAGATTTAAAGATAAATACACCGAAATTATATAGATTTGACAAAGTATATAAAGTTATTCCATGCAGGAATTCTTATTCTCATGTTAAGAATAGATTAAAACATATAAGAAATCATTTTTTTTAAACTATTCAATAATAAAATATATACAATACATATTGCCCTGCATCATTCCTGATTTCGCAGCAGTCCAGTTCTGGAAATATCACCCGGTTCAGTAATTTATTAATTTCAAAATTTTGTTGGTCCTCAATCACAGAAAAATGCTTCTTAACTATATTGATGGAAATTTTTTTTATTTTCGGCATGAATAATAAAATCAATAAACTTGATCAGGTAAAAGATCCGATATTTTAGACAAATCGAAAGATAGATTCCAATAAAATCCGAATTTGGTGTCTATCACAATATCCGGGCGAAAGATGTTCCAATAATTTGTATCTAATAATAAAATAATTTTTGTTAAATTTTACATTTTTTAAACCTGTTTCTTACTAAAATAATTATATAATATGATAAAAAGATAATTATATGTAAAACATGGGCTTCGTTGGTGAAGAATCTTGCTGCTTAAAATTATTAAAAACTTCAATTTTATTGGCAAATAGTGGTCCTAATTAATGTAACATGTAACTCTGGAGATAAAGTTCGTGCCTACATCTACTTTCTTAAATAACATTTTGCACAAACATGAGGCTGCTGCGCAATGAAGCAAATAAAACAATACATTTTGTAAAAGGCCTGGAAATGGCAAATGCCGAGTGCGTATTATAGGTCGGTTATAGTAATATTCATGCGTGCAATTCCTAGTTTTTTTTAAAATATGATCGAACATTTAAAAAAATAAAATTGATTAAGAAGTTATATTTTCGGATTAAGTGTGAATGAAAGTTAGCCGTCATTCTAATCATGGTAGTCACGTTTTTTTTATTCATTTTACGGAAATTTATTATTAAAAATAGTAAATTAAGATTTACTTGTGATAAAAAAACTCAAAAACTTAAAGATGGTTAATTTATTATTTTAGTAATGTTTTATGGAGTGAATGATAATTTATTAATTTATTTTTATTAAGATTTTGCGAAATGACATTTTACTAATTAAGACCTTTTCTAGAATTCGAATGGAGCAAAAATATTCTTTCCCAAAATTAAAATGAATTAGATTGAAGCATAAGTTAATTATTTTTATTTGAATGAACAAATATAATTCTGGCTTGTTTATTATTATTATCATATCATCGGTTTACAATGCACAACAAGCCAGAAAAGTCCGGATCCCTTAAAATCCTGACTAGTCCAAAAATTTATACAGGGCAAGACTCTAGTTTCTAACCTCCAATTTGGGTTAAAATAGTCAAACTAAACCCATATTCTTAGCCACCCACCCCCCCACCCCCTCCCCCCCCCCCACATCAAAAAAATTTAGAGAAATCAATTCTAAATATATTATTTTTTTATGTTTAAAATTTAATTAAAATTTAAAATGGAGATAGAAGAATCCTCTAATAATCAAACGGCACACTGAAAAAGGCAATAGCTTTTAAATATACAATTGCGCAATTAAAAATAACTTTACATAGTTGAGATTCGTATTTATCGAAAGCGTGATTTTCAACCGATTTGCCTAAAGGATAGAAAACGAATAAAGACATTAACTATCTACTCCTTATCATTTTCTTTTTTCCTTCTTTCTTTTAAAGTTGCCTACAAATTAAATCACGCATATTATATTTATAATTTAAATGTTGTAAATCTCCTATTTATTTTCATTATTACTTTTTAAAATAATCTTTTCACCCCTCCCCCCTCCCTCACTTTTTAATTCTTTTTGAAAATATATGTTACAATTATAATAGGAATATATTTATAATAAAATGAAAAAAATAACATTTAATTGGAAGCGAAATTGATATAGGTTCAGGTAACAATGGTCTATGAATATTAATATGAAAGTTATCTGCGGAGGGTGATATGGCGATAGTTTTAGATTGAGGGCTGCCATCGGAATCAGGCACGTTATAAATTCGTTTAGAGGACTTAAGGGTATATAGATTGAGGTCAAAGATGAGAGAGTTCTATGGTTTGTAAAAAAAATAGAAATCCAATTTTATGCGTATTATAAATGCTGTTTTTTAATTTTTTTTTTTTAGTTTTCTTTAGAATGAGCCCCAATCTCCTTTATATTACCTCGAATGTATACTATTGCATCGCTAGCTCTTAATATTTCGAGTTATTGTAAATAATAAATATTATTTATTTTTATTCTCAAATTTGTCCTCTCAAATTTTGCATTTGTATTGTGATACATGTTCCACTCATTGTTATATTTTGCTTTAAAAAATCTCTTAGCTCGTTATTTGCAGAGGATTGCTTAAAATATTCAATTTTTTTACACTATTTAGAGTTAGACGAAGATCTTTAAGGTAAGCAATTATTAAAAAAATAATGCAATATATAGCAAAATCTAACATTTTCGACCTGGTGGCAAGCAAATTTATTTAGATCCAGGACAGGCCCGTTGCAGCCTAAATTTATTAAAAAGATTATGGGGAAGAAATCTCAAACTCAAAATAATATAATACAACTATACATTTATTTTTATAAATTTTTTTCTATATTTCCCTTTTTCAAAACAACTGTCTTTAATTTAAATGTATAGCATTCCTGTAATGGATGAAAAGATTTAAATAATCTCCAGTAACAAATCATTGGTTATTAACAAGTATCAGTGATCATGATTTTAATTAATATTTTATATAATTTTGGGGTTATAGAATTCAATAGTGTGATTTTTGCAAACCAACTCTTACATAATAAAAAGTATATAAAAAAATGGTGTTTATGTAATGCGGAAGGAAAGATGTTAAGTTTTTTTATAATTTATAAAATAATTAAATTTAATTTTTTAAAAAGTATATTATCTATTAATTAAAAAGTTATACTCCTAAAAAAAATTTAAAAATGCGTCATGCAATCACAGATCGAAATTCAAAATACATTCACGCTCATGTGTGAGCGTGGCCCATCATATCATGTGGATGTTCATGACCTGCGCTCATCTCTATCTTAAAATAAAAGAAAATTGAGTGGTTCAATTTTAATAGTGTGGGGACATGAGTAATTCTAACTCTGGAGATGATAAATAGACTTTTAAATTAATAATTTATAGAAATATACAAAAATTGTCAAAATTTGATAATATGAGGCTGAACTTAAAGTTGAAGACGTGAAATTCACTCCTTACTTTTCTTTATTTCTAAAAAGTGATAAGTTCACATCAGAGACCTACAGATCTTCAGGGCACAAAATTAAATTATTTTAAAAATCAGGACGGGCTTAGAAATAAATTACAAACACTGCGCTGAATAATTTTCTTTTGAAAATAAATTTAAATTATATCAATGCAGTGGAAAAATTACATGATTAATTTAAAATTCTATCAGTTTCCCATATTTCAATTTTACATCCAAAATTATTTAAATTAATCAAATTTTAAAAGCTAAACAAATTAAGCTGGTCCTAACTAAAAATTCGACCCCCTCCAAAACTATAGACAGCTATAAAAAAAATATTATAAAATTTAAAACATTCAACAACTTAGCTTTTTCAAATTGTTAAATATTTTTCTATAATTGAATTGAAAGCTTTTGTCTTTCTAACGTTTTAGATAAACCATTAACACATATATTCTATAAAATAATCTATTATAAATGTATTTATAAAAAAATGTTATATCAGCCACGATTAAACCTTGGAAGTTAGATTATGCACTACTATAACGTTATCAACTACATTGATGGTCATTGAACCGGATAAACCAAAGGCTCCGAGAACTAATATATCGGTCAATGGACAACGCCTATTACTGTTATAGATGGTAATAAAGTGCATGAATTATTAATATTCGCCTGCCTGTTCATCATGATTAACATTTTGACCCTAACTTAATTCCGATTAAAAAGTGTAGTAGAACTATATTTACAAAAAAAACCAATTGGCCAAAAATTACTTACCGGATAATTTAATATTTCTATTTTAGTAGGAATAGAATAACTTTGTTGTTTAAAATAAAACTGAATACTTTTTTAGGATAGATTTAATGGTTATTTAAATAGAGTTAGTTTAACATAAAACAAAAGGTCTTGATAAAATAATAAGACAATTAAAACAGCGGTGTCGATATGTTTTGGATGCTAAAATACCCCCCTTTTAAAAATAAACAGGAATAACTTAAAAAAAGGTTATAGAGCCTTTTTTTAAAAATTCGCACCCGATTTTTGCATAATTAGCATCCATTATATAGCAATCTCACGAAATTTTATGGCGATTTAAAAAAATATATTATTTTCTATGTGGCATAATCATTTTATTATTATAATTTTCTTCCTTTCGCCTTTAAAAAAATAAAATCTCGAAAATTACACGAATTCAATGAATAAAAATATATAAGCTATTCTTAATATAAAATTAAAAATGGCCTAAATGATTTTTTCTAATTTGCCAATGTTTTGCGATTCTTAAAAGTTTTACAAATTGTGAAAATTTAATCATTTTATCGCTAAAATTTTGTAATTTGTCAATTTGCTAGAAAAAGATAAAATATAGATTTAGTAAATCATTCACAACAAACATTTTCAATATTTTAAATGGAAGATTTAACAATACTTTTGAAAATTGATTCGGAATATGTTTCGTATCTCTCAATACTCGCAAAAAGTTATGCAATACTTAAAACTTTTGAGTAGTATACAAAAATAAAATTGTGCGAAATCGAAAGATATTATATTATTATAAAAATTGTAATTATCATTTTATTAGATGGTTCTACTTACACATAGAAATGAAATAAAACCCAATACATGGAATATATTAAGGTTGTTTAAATTCAATATATATTTTTTTTGCACTGATTTTTGAGCATACAAAATTTTTTGCTTATTTCACAGTTAATTTATGTTCCTTTTGAATTAGTCCCATTTTAATTCTGAAAAATGCAAATTAAAAGGATGAGTTAAAAATATTTTTTTGATATTTGAGGTTATTTTCAAATTCTACATTTTTAATTATATACTATTTTGATTAGCGAATACATGCATATTATAATTATTTATAGTAAAATAAAAAAAATCCAGGGACATAAACCTGGCTAAAGGCCGAGCAAACGTGAGACCCGTCAAAGATGGGTAAGGAAGGTGGGCAAAGATACCCCAAAAATTATACATTGAGTAAATAAATTTAGACACTTTTTAAAAAATAAATTAGCCATTTTAGAAGGCTAGAGATGCCATTTAATTAAAAAGCCTATATTGCAAAGAAAAAAAATGAATATTTTGCAAGAACAAAGTGCTAATAATATTATGTTGTAGCGAATTGAGATCACCAAGTAGATTAACTGCAAATGTTGTAATAATAAATTATAAATTTTATTCTATATTTTCATTTGTAGATAAATTTTAGTAAATATTTAAAATTTTAAATATCTCACCCCTTAAAGATAATCTTAAAAAAATTTCATCCTGAGAACTATACTGAAGATATTAAGTCTTGCCCCTGTGTAGAAGCCGCTGTAAAACAAGTAACTAACAACAAAATCAATACTGCCAGAAAGATTAAAATATTTGATTTTCGATAGTGGCTTGCCTAATTTCAATAGTAATTTAAACAATATAAATATTTATTTACGAATAATTCAAATATCTACAAATAATGTTTGTTTATTAATCGGTAATTTTTTTTATTCTAATTCGATTCATAATTTTTGAAACAATTGTTATTCATATTCGTAAATTTTGAAATCGGCTACGAATGAAAATAAAAAAAATACTATTTCCTTCTTTTCTTCTTAAAATTTATCTATTGCCAATGCCATCTGCTAGCCCAATCACTAAGAAAATAAATTAGGAGAGTAAATTAAAATTTAAGCGTGCCAAGAACAATAGATAGTCTATAGAATATAACAACAAAATGGTGTAATATGATCAAATCGGACTGCTCATTAAAAGTTGTATATTGGTAATATACATAAAACGTAAATTCATCATTCGATTTGTATTTAACAATACGAATAACTTAATTTTTTGACTTTTCTAATTGAATTTGAATAACGAAAAAAATTATTTAAAATAATAACCTTTCATCATTCGATCGAATTATTAGTATTATTCGTAAAGTTTTGAACATGTTCCTTATAGAACCTTTTTTAAATTTATTTTGTTACTTCCATATAATAAACAATTTTTTTAATTTTGAAAATATTTTTAAGGAATTTAATTCCCGAATCGAATATTCCAAGAATGAATTCGGATAATAGTTTTAATTTGAATATGAACAGTACAATTATAAGATAATGCAATTATTCGAGTCATATTTTTGAAAGCATAACCGGTACACAGCTAAAAAAATGAAGGTTAACAAAAATACCCTAAAAGTATTTTATGCAATGATATAAATGGCCTTGGCGTGGTGGGATCGAAGAATTGATCTTGCGAACTTGATCGGTTATGTTCGATAAATAATACGTAGGAAAAATCGTAACTAAAAAATATATTTAAAAATTTTAATGTAATATTTTAATAATTAAAATTGAGATTTTTATTACATTTTAGCTAAAACAAAATTTTTCTCCTCCATTTTATAACATAGATCTGTGATCAATTCATAATGGAAATGCTCTATTTTCGAAATTTTAGAAAAGTTTCCATCCTAATTTTTATTTTAATTTAAAAAATATAATTATTACAAATTACCAAATATAAAAGATTTTATCATAAAATGCAATTTTGATTTCTGAAATTTTTCTCTTCATAAGGCAGTGCCTGGGGTAAGGCCTGAGTGCAATTGAGGATTATAATATATAAAATATTAGATATCCGTAATTATCGTCAAAGTAAAAATTAATCAATGTATATTTAAGAAAAATTACATGAATAAAAGTTATTATTTATAGGGTATTTTTTGATATTTTTTGAACACTTGATTATTATAATGTTGATTTGGAGTCACTTTATTACACGTCACTTTATCATGAGGACATTTTATCACGACGACATATTATAACTCAGTCACTTTATCACGCGTCATTTTATCTAGCGGCACTTTACACGACACTTAAAAATTATAATAAGAAAATTTAAGTGTGGTGTTTTTGTTATGTTTACAGTGTTGTGATGATTTAATGAAACATATTGACGAATAAATTAAAACCCATCCATATAAAATTATAACCTTTGAAAATAATTAAAATATAGACAAAGCATTTTTGAAATTTCTTTTATTAATTCCTTTTGTTATTTTAATTATTTTTGCAAAGATTATAATTTTATATAGAATGGGTTTTAATTTAATCGTCAATATGTTTCATTAAATCATCACAACACTGTATTATTAAAAATAAAAAAAATTTAAAATTCTTGAAAAAATGGATTTATCTATTGATATTTTTTAAGTCAATTGTTTTTTTCACAAAGATTTATAATTTTTAAAAATTAAGGTTTTGTAATTATCCATAAATATACATAATATTTTTTTTCTCTATATACAGCTCAATTTTCTATATTATTATATATTAAAGAATATATTTTTATTAATTATAATGTTAGAATTTGGATTTACATCAAAAAATACCTAGCCTCTTATATCAAAATTATGAATATACAAAATTTAGAACAAATAAATATAAATCAATATGCTGGAGGTGTGCCAAAAATAAATCTCAAAAATGCAATTCTTTTAACAACAAAATTTAATGATATTTTAAGAAGTCCCCTTGATCATACTCATGAAGATGACATATCCAAATCTAATGCCAGAAAAAATATATCAGAGATGAAATCAAAATTCGTGGTCCACGCAACTACATAATTAAATTATGATAATAATACATTGATGGTTATGCCAAATAAGTCAGTCCTTTATCAATCATTACAACGGAATAAAAAATCAAGCTCAGCCATAATATTGCCTCCAATCCCGGATCACACTTTCATATATCCGGAATGTTAAAGGGATATGCTCAAATATGATTCCTGGCATGGGAATGATAATTTAAGCTTTATAATGTTGAGCACGAACGAACTACTCGAAGGATTATCAAGATCGAATATATGGATATGAGATGGTACCTACACGCAAATATCCTTATTAGAAAAATAAATGATTTGGGAAATGAGTCTAATGATGACTTTCGATTGTATAGCAGTATTTATCGGCCCTTGCATATGTCACAGAGGATGATGTTGGAAATTCATTTGATATCTTGGAAGAAATATTTGGAGAATTGAATGGCTCATTTGAGCTTATTTCCTAATTTGAGAAGGCCTATATCCGAAGACGTATGTTTTGCTGTAAATTTATATATTGAAATAATTTTGCAGCTCCTCTCTATAATGTAAGATTATGGAAGAAACACAATTCAACGTTAGAAGGTGTCGCCCAAACAACAAATTGTGTTGAAGGGTGGCATTATTGAATTCAATCCTATACCAATGTTCTCACCCAACCGTTTGGAAATTTTTAGATTGGATTCAAAAAGATATGCAAAAACATAAGGCCTTATATCTTCAAGTCATAATGAGGATCTTTAACATTTTTAAAAGCTATTGCCCATATTTCATGCAATTAAATATTTTATAAATAATTTATATTTTTTACTCGTGATTTATTGATTTATTTGCTAAAAAAAGTATAAATTGAAATCATTCTTATAGTGCGCACAAATTGAATGTTTCAACGCAGCGTTTCAAAACGCAAATAATGCATTTTAAATGCATTCGTTTAAATTGGAGAGCATTTTTTTTTGTTTTAAATATAGACGTTTCATATTAAAAAAAATAAAAATTAACGGTTCAATTTATGTTTACATTTTTTTTATTTGCGTTTTGAAACGCTGCGTTAAAACGTTCAATTTGTGCGCACTATTATTGCTTGTCTCCTGTTTCCTTAGATAAGATAATAATCAGGGGTTCGAACCGAACCGCAAAACCGGAATGAACCGTTATGATTTTCTGAACCGTAACCTTAACCGAACCGTTATGAAGAAAATATTAAAAGAGCGAACCGAACCGTTATAAATATTTTGAACCGGTTCAAAACGATTTTAAAAATAATTAATTTTAAATTATTAGCCTAAATTTAAAATATTAATTTTCCTGAAGTATATCAAAAACTTAATTCGTTAAAATTAGATATAGCAACTAGATATGATAGGTCCATATAGGGGATCAATATTCAATTTATAAATAACGGAAAAATAAAATTAAGGACTCTATGCACGAAAGTGATTAAAGAACGACACACATCAGAATATCTTAAAAAAATTATTCTAGATGTTCTAAAAGAATATGAAATAAAAATTGAGCAGATTTACACAATAACCACCGATAATGCAGAAAATATGATTAAGTTAATTAAGCTATTAATACTACACGATGAAGAAGATGATGACCTTAACGATTATTTAATTAATGATGATTTAAATAATAATGATATAGATAATGACGATTTAAATAATAATGATATAATTCATGATGAAAATAAAGAACTTTTTAATATTGAAAATATTAATCTTGCACCAAATGCCAGATCCATATTAATAGGTATTAGATGTGCTTCACATACATTTCAATTAGCAATTAATGATTGCATTAAAAATTCAAATAAAATTGTCATTATAAATAAAGCAAGAAACATCTGCAAAAAAATAAGAAATCAGACAACAATGGCTATTCTCTCAAAATTAAATTTGAAAAAACCACTAATAGATTGTTGCACAAGATGGAACTCTATCTATTTAATGTTGGAGAGATTACTAGAGTTAAAAAGCTTTTGCCAAGAAATATCGCTCCAAAGCGATCGCGAAAAATGTTTATCAGAGAATGAATGGAAAATAATTAGTGACATATTAAAAGCTTTATATCCAGCTTATGTTTTGACAAAATATTTACAAAGTGAACAATTGACAATGGGAGATTTTTATGCTGCGTGGATCAAATGTCTCATGCAAACGAGTAAAGTAGACACTCCATTTGCCAGACTTTTAGTTTCTACGATGAAAGCACGAGAAATAAATTTTAAAAATGAAATTTTTTGCTCTGCTATTTATCTCGACCCTAGATATAATGTATTTTTAACTTTTGAAGAAAGAGAGATCGCCAGAAAACATCTTTGTAAAACTTGGAACTTGATACAAAATCTAAATAATCAGAATATTGAAATTCTAAATACTATGCCTACGTGTTCGTATTCGAAGGATAATTTAGATGTTGATTTTGAAGATTTATTAAAGTCGCATGAAAGTCTTAATAAGAATAATTCGAAGGGCATCGAAAATTATAATAAATGTATAGAAATAGAATATATAATTCGGTCATTTGATAATATAGAGAGATTAGAAAAAGATACTAATCTTTTGAATTATTGGGAAAATGTAAAGAATAGTATGCCAGAACTTTATAAGTTAGCTATAACTGTGCTAGCAGTTCCAGCTACGCAGGTCTCCGTAGAAAGAGCATTTTCAAGCTTTAAGTTTATACTGTCTGCCCAGAGAACTAAATTAAATCCTGAAATATTAGAAAATATTATAGTTATCCGTTCGAATTCTCTTTTTAAACCTAAATAGTATAGTATACATATTATTTTATTCATTATTGTATTTACGCATGTTTGTTTTTATCTTATTTATTTATAAAATAAAAAAAAACTAATTTGTCTAATTTATATTTCCTAAATTTAATAAAAATATCTATTAGATTATCATGGATAAATATAGGAAATTATAAACTAAAAGATTTTTCTCTAAAATTAATATATACATGGTTAATGATTAATTTTTTTTTAAATTAAATTTATAAAAACCGGAACAAACCGAAAAGAACCGTTATTAATTATAAACCGAACCGATATGATTTTTTTTAAAAACCGAAATGGAACAAAACCTTTATAAAATTTTAAACTAAAAACCGGAATGAACCGAACCGTTATACTAAACGGTTCGAAACCCTGATAATAATTAAGTTTAAAAAAATTATACATATGAAAACTAAAATATTAGATTTTTCAATAAAAAAATATATATAAAATTAATTTTAATTTTTTAAATATCAAAATTTAAACGGAAAAGTCAAAAAATCAGATATTATCAAAATTTAACTTTTCAAATATATCATGATAAAGTGTCGAGTGTTCAACTGTCGCATGATAAAGTGTCGTGCGACAGTTGTAACTAGGCGGTTTTAATACTATAAAAAATTATTTACATTAAAATTGAGATTTTTTTGTGAAGGGGCATCCTGGTAAGGATAAGACTTTTATTTATAAATTAATATCTTTATAAAAAATGGGGTTTAAAGTATAAATCTGGAATATCACTAACGGTTCCAATAAATTCTCGAAACGTTATGAAATTTTTGATCATCAGAACGTTCGCAGAACTAAAAAGAACTTTTTATTTTAAAGGAACGAATCGGAAAAAAACGAAGAGGAATGTAACAAAATAAATACCCTTGCTATGGGGTTAGGCCTATCCGACAAATTAGTCATTTTAATTTATTTCGTATATGCCGTCTTTATTTTATATACATAGAACTCATACTTTACAAATACAAATGTTTAAATGAAAATGTAGTAGAACTATGAATTATCCCCCCAAACACGGAAACACCTAGTTGGCCTAGAAAAAACATGATCCTTGCTGGATTCGAATTCAGAACTATCGGATAGTGATAAAAGCACTACCGATTGGGTCACAGACGCTACTCCAGAGCATATAATTTTTTTGCATATAAAGAAAAAATGACAAAGCTATCTAATATTTTGACAAATAACATAAAAAATCAAAAACGTTGGCTATACATCATTACCCTGTTAACTCATTCCCCTATTGATTTTGTTTCGTTTTTCAAATTTTATTTTATCGTTATTTTATATTTGTATTCTATTCTATTCATACTAGATAGTTAAAAATTTATATAAATAAAAAAAAATATAAAAACAATAAAATGCATTCTAAAAAATTACCTCATTTTTATACATTTCAATTTTCATATAACTTTTTATTAGGGATGTACTGATATTTTATATCGGATCGGATCGGGCCGATATTTCGCCCATTTTAAAATATCGATTATCAGCAAATATTATAAAATTTTCCGATCCGATCCGATATAAATTGGCGCTTTTAACAAAATTTAAAAAAAGTTATATCTAAAAAACCATTTATTTTTATAAATTAAATTGAAATATATTTTTGTTTAATTTTTTTAATAGTAATAATTAGTTAATAAACATTCTGCAATATAGTTATTTTTTTTCGCATTCTGTTTAAAAAAATGTTCATTAATCTCTTCAGAATTTGTTTTTAGTGATGCTAGTGATATTAACAGCCCCATCACCGCAGACCGATCTCTGCTAAATTGATTGGTATTTCTAAAAAGAAATCTTCGATATATTCATTTTAAATTTCAATATATTTGTTTATTACTAATTATGTAAATAGATTAATGTTATTACTTATTATATAAATAATTGCAATTGAATTGAATATAAACTATAACAGATCATTATAATATATTTAAATGACATATGTTATGGTATAGTAAAACTATAGATGTTGTACTAATAAAAAGTATATTAAAAATTATAACCGGTATCTTTACAGAATACAAAATTAGATATGATATCGGATCGGTTATCGGCCGATATCAATTTAATATCTGGAATATCGAATCGGATCGGATCGACCTCCAAAAAGTGGTATCGGTACACCCCTACTTTTTATTATAATGCATTTTATATAAAATGCTTCGATATAAACTAGAGACCTGCAGACGCATGGCCGGCCCGGATTGTTTTATAAAAAAAAATTCGGCTCGGAACGGGTTTTACATTATCAGGCCGGGCCCTAATTTTTTAAAAATATATATTTATTTATTGCTAATAATGGCGATAAATATTTGGTTTTAAAATAAGGCCCAGTCCGGGTATATTTAAAAAAATTAGAATACGGCCCGGCCCGTGTATTCGGGCCAGGCTTAGGGCCTTTAGGTCTCAATAAACTATTAATAACTTGATTATATTGTCTAATTTAATATAATAATAATCAATGATCATCATTTTAAGCATCCTATAAAAAAAGCCCTAGATGGGAGCGGAGGAAAATTAATTTGTAATGTAAGAAAAATATTTCCTTGATTTATTGAATATTTATGCGGTATAATTTTAAATGATGGATGGTGAAGATATAAGATTATTTCATTTTTACGTTATTAGTCTTCTTTGTAGAATTTTAAAATATTCTAAAATAAACATTTTTACCGATTGTATCTTTGTAAAATAATTTAATGTGTAATGTAAAAATAAAAAAGTCAAAGTTATAACGTTTTCAAATGAAACCTTAAAAAATCTACTTTATTATATTTATCTATTACAATCTATAGTATTAAATTTATCTTCTTACACAATCGTCATCCTCTGCTAAAGTAGTAAATTTTTCATTGGCTGCCACTATTTATGGAAATATAATACAAAACATTAAATTCCATAATGAAGAGATTTGAAAATAATGAAATCCTATTCTCTTTTTATCGTATTATAGGCTATTTCATTTCCATGGGAGAATTACAAGAGCGCAATGTTAAACGCTATTAGTAACCTTTTGATCAGCACTACTTTCAACAGGCCAAAAAAAATGAGTAGGACCTATTTCGAAAATAATGGATCGGATTAGATTATTGGAAAAAAATTTGGATTGGATCAGTCAGGCAGATTTTTTAAAAATATTATTTCAGATCAAACCTAAAAAAATAGAACAGACACAAGGCTCTGGCCTTTACCTAGTTTAGATAAAATCAAGAAAAAAGAAATAATAATTAATCTAACCCAATATCTAATATATATATACACTAACTTAACTGTGCCTAGGTCTTAGCCCCTACCTGATTTCAGTGAATAGCAAATGTTTTAATTTATTATTTATTCACCCTATTTTAGATAAGCAAAACATCTATAATAATGAACATTATTTCACCTGACTCCAGCCAACTTATTGTATATACCCTAGCCCATGAGGCATATATACCCTATGCCTAATTTAGAAATTTTGGATCCAAATTGCATTTATGGTGTAATGCATTGGTTGAAAACATATGGAAAAATCTTTTCATGGTAATAAATATTTTTGTTAGTATATATTTGTGGTAATTAATTTTGTGGAAAAATTTTCATGATATTATGCCAAAACTATAATTTTATATGCATCATTTCATAAATTTAAATGAAAATAATTATTCCAATTTAAAAAAAATAGATATATTTAAAATTCTTTATATTTTTTAATTTGCAATAAATAAAAAATGATCTAAATTTTTTCAAATATTATTTATTCTACTTTTGTAAAAATAAGTTTTAAAACATTGGATTTAGCACCAGTACACAAAAGAAGTAGATTTTCAGATGCCTAATTGTAAGATAATAATTAATTTAAAAAAAAAACAATAATACCAAATAAATATACCAATATATTCTTTCTGAATTAAATGTTCTAATAAATTTCACTATTTTTTCTTTACATATTACCTAAATTTATGAGTAAATATATAAGTATTCATAAACTTAGTATACATGATATATTTCACATCCAGATAATGTCACATAACATATATACCTACTTGAAAGCCAAATAAATCCTAATATTTCAGCCCTTTTCTATAAATTTTATTTATATTATCAAATAAATCTAATAAACTTTAGATTGAGAATATTCATCAGATAATATAATGTTATTTTCATTAAATCCATATACATTAATAAATTCCTTATATAAACTTAAATACCATGCTAATAATAATATACTATAGAAAGTTTTGACCTTTGAATTGCTAAAATATCTAGATCAGCAGATAATTTCAATGATATCACTCTTCCTTTATCCAATAGTCTAAATTATAATTTTACAAAGTTAATTTAAAAATAAATAAATTACTTTAAATTACGTTCTTCATGATTTGGAGATTTTATATTTATGTACATAAATTTATTATATGTATTAATGATAATTAGCTGGAATCCTTTTATATATATAATTACAATTCAATAAAAACTTGTTGATTGTTATCATCAAAATATAAAGCATGATACGATGGTTTTGTTGGAAATATCAGGGGATTTTCATTTAAAACTAAAAATCCCATTATATTCAAAACTTTTAAATAAGAAATGTATGATAATCATCTGTTTTTAATATGTAGTAATAATTGGTGCTAAATGTTACACAGATATAAATGTTCTTTAGTATTTTTTTAGAATCTAAAATCGTCACTGGAGATAAGTCATGCAGTAAAATAGATAGGAATATGTTTTCAATATCTAATTGAATGGGAATTTCTTACTGTCATATTATTGGCGTAGGTGGCAAAAGCGGAATCCACCCCTCAACACCATTTGAAATCTCTGTAAATCTATTGAGAAAATCTAATTTTTTGAAATTTGCTCTATTCTAGCATAATGCACATAGTAATACCTAACTTTTGTTTTAAATATTATTTATATATAAGCAATGTTAAGCTGCAAATTGATGTTAGGCTTTAAAATAGTTCCATCAGATCAGAAATCATGTATTTATTAGACTAATCATATCAGCGCAGATTTTACATATAAAAAGTGAAATTAATAATTTATTTTAAATAAGCGCGCTTTGTTTTATTTTTCACATTAATTTTTCCCTACGATATTTATTTAATAAATTATAATTATTTTTTCCTATAAATGGTATTTAGCATAAATTACTGATAAAAGATAGAAAGGTATAAGTGGGTTATACCTAGAGATGTAACACAAGGAACATTTCCCCTTTAGTTTCCCCAATTTTTACAATATGTTTTTTGATTTAAGAATCACTATATTTTTTATATCTAAAATATTGATTCCTCGTGAGGTGAAAAAATAATTGTGTTTTGTTTTTGAATGTATAAGTTTGTTCTCAATGCAGAAACACATTATCAAGTTTATACCCATGTCGGAAAGATGTGGTCTTTTATACTTGAACACTAACTTCAGGCCTACAATAATTGTAAACTTCTATGTCCCACTAGAAGTGAAAGAGCAGGTTTTATCAATTTAATGATAAACACTGTTCTCCCTATCAAGTAGATACAACATAACAATTCTAGGTGATCTCAATATGAAGTTTGGAAAAGAAGCAATTTATATTAGTAACAATGTTATCGGGAATGCCACCTTACAACAACCAAACTGCCATGATAGTAGGAAATTCCTCGATTTCTGTAACGATAAAAACCTAAAAATAGAAATTACTTTCTTTCATCACAGCGGAAAAAATACCTACACCTTTGAAATAGTTCGACAAAAATCTCAAATTGATCTATTTATATCAAATATTCACGGATGGTTCGAGGATGTCAAAGCAACATCCAATATAAATTTGTCAGATCATAAAATGCTAAAAGCAATTATTACCATAAAAAATATGAAAATAAATTTTACGCGTAAACTTAGTAAACTGCAAACGCAGGAGGATCAAATACTTTTCGATCAAACAATATACCAGAAAAAAGTTAACTCTGTGAGTGAAACCATCAGAATACAAAAGGCGTGGGATGTCTTCTATAAGTACATGAAAGTTTGGAAAACCAAAGAGATTTCGGTATTTACCAGATTGAGGTTATTCAACTCGACGATAGTTCCTATTCTATTATATGGAGGTGTGGGAAACAAATAAGACAGAAATAAGACAGAAATAAGACGACTACAATCATTTATAAATAATTGTCTACGTACAATAAATGGCATTTTTTATCCAAGAGTTATCTCAAACCCTAATCTTTGGAAAAAGTCAAATCACACGTCGATTAACATCACTTTAAAAAAACGCCGGATCCAGTTCCTGGCCCACATAATAAGGAACTCCGATTATAATCTAGCTCATGATGCCATAGCATGGTTGTACACATATAAAGGAAAACAATATACAAAATACAAATCCTTATGGTACTATAAAACCATAAAAGATATAATGGATTAAAATATTAATATGAAACAATTCATAAAACTAAATAACAGCAAAAGATCCATCAAAAAGCTTTTTTGCATCAAAAAAAGTTACCTCAAATGAAAATGTACTTCGAATTTCTTTGCTCACATATCATTATCTAAATGTTTCCTATCAACAATTATTCAACTCTTTCTGTAAATATTCTTTTTAAAATTTCCTTACAATAACTAGTACTAATATCAGAGACCTGCAGGCCCGGCCCTTAATTTTTTTAATAAACCCGGGCCGGGCCTAAAAAATTTTTTTTATATATATCCGGGCCGGGCCTAAAAAAATTTTTTTTAAATATATCCGGGCCGGGCCTAAAAAATTTTTTTTATAATATATCCGGGCCGGGCCTAAGATTGTTGAACCCGGCCGGGCCTTAGATTGTTGAACTAGGGCCGGGCCTTAATATTTTTTTTAAAAATTTATACATTATGAGTTAATTGTTATAAGTTTATATTATATTATAGTGACGCCCCTGCCATCACCCAATATTATATTAATCATAACTATAATATAATATAATCTTATAACAATTAAGTCATAATGTATAAATATTTAATTGCGGGCCTTCGGCCCGCTTTTGCCCGGCCTTCGGCCGGTTATATATTAATATATTTTTAAAAATTACTAAACTCTTGAAGGATTATTCTTATTTTCATATTTTGTTTTTTATTATATTATACGTACAAAATAAACTAGAATTTAAATAATTAAGACTAGAATATTGATCATTAAGACTAGAATATAAATATCATTAAGACTAGAATATAAATATCATTAAGACTAGAATATAAATATCATTAAGACTAGAATATAAATATCATTAAAACTAGAATATAAATAATTAAGACTAGAATATAAATAATTAAAACTAGAATATAAATAATTAAAACAATACATTTCTACAAATTTTTCAATACAAAATCGATTTACTACAGTATAAAATATTTTAAATTGCTGATATAAAAAATTTCGCGTCTAAAGAATTACAAGTGATAAAACCGATTAATTAATTCATACATATGCTTCAATTGTTAATGTTTTTAAAAACCCCATAAGGCAATATAATTCTAAGCAACTAACATTAACAAAAGGTCATGAAACTAATATAACTCTCTCTTACCATTTTAGACAAAGTTTTATAGAATGGACTAATAAGGAAAAATTTATAGGCCTAACCAAATCAACAATTCTTGAAGAAGAGAATATAAACGACCAATCCAAATCATAAAACTATATGGTGGTTAGGGCTTCCTCTTAGATGACATGATGGAAGCTAGATAAGTAATCGAGAAAATTATTGTGAGATATTAAAATTATCTTCCATTTTTAATCCTATATAAACTACTGGACAGTTGATCATTGTTGCTCATCTTAATTATGCAATCATATGCTCTCAGCAGCAGTAGTAATAATATTAAATTACATAGCCACACAAATAATAGATGCTGGTTAATTTGCAGTCATAGCCATGACATACACGATGTTAACTCATATCAAAATCTAGTATGTTAGATATATTGATAAAGCAAAAACACCTAAAATCTTGGAAGAAATTATGTTTGGAAGAAATTATGCAAATATATTGAAGCCTTGAGTTATTTACAATTTAAGTGTGCCAAATTAGAAATAAATAATTTGGGAGCTAGAAAATAAGTACCATAGTGATATGATGAAAGCAATTAAGATCTTATAATTTTATATGTATTCAAATATTTTTAATTAAATTTTTCAGAAACTTTGGTCATATCAAAAGAAAGCATTTACTGTTTTTTCTGATTTTTTCCTATCTCAAAAAGAATTTTTTTATAAGCACCATGTCTTTTAACTAATTTTGGATATGAAAAAAAAATTTATAAAATAAATATTAAACGATATATTTACTCGCAGATACTAACGCCTAAAATTGCGTTTCAAAAATTATAAGGTTAAATTATTTATAAAATAAGTTATCTACGCCGGCTAGTCATTATTGCATATTCATCTATAATGTGATCTATAGGAATGGTATTAATAATATTTTTTTCTATGCTCAATAGAGCCAACGAATTTAATTGTTCCTGACCCATTGTCGATCGAAGATATGTTTTCACCCGTTTTAATGCTGAAAACGATCTTTCACATGAGCAGGAATTAAAAGGTATAGTTAACGCAATTTTAAGGCAATTAAATATACGAGGGAATATATCTATAGGTAAGATTTTTATCAAATCTATTATTGATTTACACGTAGATTCGTGTTTTTTATTATAGGTTAAAATATAAGCCTTTAATATTATGTATTCTTCCATTGGATCAGGAAGATTATAATGTAAGATAAATGGTTTAATGATATCATTATTTAAAAAAAGGGGAGAGGAGGGATGTAAAGCATTTATAGCTATTAAAATATCTGTTTCTTGGCAAAATCTCTTTTTTAATTCATTATCATAATATCCAAAATTGGATAAAATACATGACACTTATAAAAAGTTTCTGTTTGATCAGAATGATTAGAGAGCCAATGCTGTTGATATGTCCGAATCTGATTTTTGCAAAAAAATAGAAATATTGGAACACATAGATAATGATTTTTGGAATATCAACATACACATAATTGTATCATATTGTAAAAGAATATATAAAATTCCCTTTGCTTTCACTACATCACCATGGTCTATATTTACTAGATAAGAAATAATTGCAGGGAAAGTCATTTTTACTGCCTCTATAGTTCTAATATGGGATCCCAATGTTGTGGGATCCCCAACGTGTAGAACTCAAGGCAGCAATATTTTTGGATTTTAACCCTAATCTTAATTGCAAATCAAGAAATTTATTGTGATGGATAACAGATATTGAAAAAAAAGCATGAATACCTTCTAATACATTAAAAAACTTTCTAGATTGAAGTACTGATTTGCAGGCAGAGATCAGTACAAGGTTGAGTTTATGCGCATAGCAGTGCACATATATAGCCATTTTGTGATTTTGGCGATATCTTTCCTGGACTCCTGAAAGATGCCCTTTCATAACACTTGCACCATCATATGCTTGAGCAACGCAAATTGCGTTTATGGAATTGTTGTTTAAGGTTGTTATTAATGTCTTCGTTAATGACTCTGCATCTAAGTCTTCAACTTTTTGAAAAGATATAAAAGATTCCTTTGGTGTTTTTGTTTTATCA